TATACATTCATGCGAGTGTTACAAACACGCGTGATATATTATAGTTGATTCAATTTAATGCTCTACGACACTTTCTTCTAAAATTATTGAAGCACAATACAAATTGTTAGGGCATAATTAAGAAAGTTTGAATCACATTTGAGGGCTAGAAATGACACCTGGAAAGAACTTTTTGATAATTCAAACTAGAATTGAGAATTGGTCACCTCTGTAGCATGCTTACAGTGCATATTGCCCCCCTCCCATGCAAAAAAACACCTCTAAACTATGATATTTATAAAAATTAGATTAAAATGTCCTTAACAACACATTTTATAATATGTGTGTATATATATATATATATATATTGTTAAATTAATAAAAAAAAAGGGGCCGTGGTTACCGCCGCAGAGAACGAAGGGAAGACTGGAGAGTCAGAAGAGCCATCATGTGTCGGCGACATCCACCATCTCCGTCGCCGCCACCACCCAGTTCCATTCTTTCTGATGATTGAAGCTCCAACTACCGAAACCCAGTTCACGTCGGCATGTTCCCAAGCGATGACAAAGCAATGGTGAGCTCCTAGTGTCGGCAACATCTACCATCGCCGTTGCCGCCACCACCCACACAATCCCAAACCCAACCCAACACCCATTAGAGGATTGGTTCCTCAACTTGTTAGAGAAAGTGGGGGATGGATGGATTTATTTCGAAAGGATGAGAGGAAATAGAAATTGGTATTAAGAGATTCCAGGGGATGGATGGGTTTAAAGGATGGCAGATTGTTTGGTCCAAATTAGGACTACCATAATCGGTCATTGCTGGAGGAATTGATTTGATGGAAAGCTCTTCATGGAATCGATTGAAAAATAGATAAGTTATATATATATATATATGGATTGAAAGAAAAAAAAAATTCATTAAGATAATTAGATACATCGGAACAACTGATTTATATACATATGATGGGGTTCTTCTATTTTTTTTTACTAATTTATGTAAAGACTGAGATTTTAAATGATTCAAAACTAAATGATTCAAACCCAGTTCAGCAATGATGCAATTGTTGTAGTTCAAGAACAGTGTGCAATTGCGAGTTTTAGGGCTAGAAATATATACATATATATATACACACACACACACACACACACATATAATACATATGTGATTCTCTCTAATTTTTGCTGCTTTGATTTCGAAATCCTGCTTGTCAAACTATCGATAGAATGTTGAAGTCCGCAAAGTTGCCGATGAAGATGAGGTAGTTGGCGAAGTAAATTAGTTTGAGGAGGAGGAGGACGATGGGAAAAAGTCAGTCTAAATGTCAAATTGTTTCTCCTCCTCCATTGGCACAACTCAACTCATGGGTTTCACGGATCTCTCTATGCAATTCCTATTTCCAATCCTCCTCTCAACATTCTCTCACTATGTATGTGTATGTATATGTTAGTGTGTGATACCACGGGCGAGTCGCGACATGATGGCTGAGTCGAATTTGTAGTTTTGGGTTTATTAGTTGGGCATTTTTGAAAGAGTAAAATGGTAAAATGGGCATTATTTAAATTGAGGGGTGTTTTCGCACAAATTGAAAAGAATGAAGGTGTTTTTTGCACACTTTTTTAAATAAGGGGTAAATATATTATAAAAAATATATTTCAGGGGTATTTCCTACACTTATCCCTTGGACAATTAAACTTCATTGACAAGTAATGTCAAAGTTAAGTTTAAATTTCATGAATAATAATCATGTTAAGTTTACATAATCTTATCCAAATGGGATTCAATTTCGGGTCGATTGATTAGTTTAACAAAAGACCGACCTTGAAGGCTTGAAGGCATTTTTTAGCTTAGGATCAAGATTAATAAAGTGAAATAGTGATTAATTATATATAAATCCAAACATTTTTAATATATATATATATATAAAAGTGTCAAGTTCACAAGTCAAGTCACCGGTTGTTGGAGCTCAACTTGTATACTAAACTAGCTTAAATAAACAAATTAGTCTTTTGTATAATTTGTATTATATTTTTCACCTTATGAATTAATTTTTTATTTGAATAGATACATATCTCATCAATTTGTAATCAAGTACTTCTCTAATTTGATAGGATATGAAAATATAGCATTAACGATTGGTGAATGGACATCAATTTAGTCCCAAAAAAATGTATTTTAACAATTTTGCACTATAATTCTTAAATTAACCAGAATTTAAAGCGAACATGCGTCATCAAATTTTCCCTCTTTAGTACTTTTTACGTTAATGTAAATTAAATGTTAAAACCACCTTTCTCCAAATGCATGTGAAAATTAAAATACGTGAAAATTAAAATACCTATATGTATGTATTGATTTTTTGGGTTTGGGGTTGGGGTTGGGGTTGGGGTTGGGGGAATAAATGACAAAAAAGTTATTGAATTCATTAATGCACTATCCCTGAATTTATAAAGTTATAACTACCCTTTATATAACTTTAATTTTTTTTTTTTACCTTCTTTACTTTATTTACTATTTTTTTTCCTTTCTATTTGTTTTATCTGGAGGTTCTCTCAAATAATTTATTCTATACTAATAATTTAATTTTTGACTGCCAAAAGAAATAATTTATTCCATAATCACTTTTTTTTTCTTTTTTTTTTTTAATTGAAAGGGATATTTATTCAACAAAGTTAACTTTTTTTCAGTCAAAAGAGGTAACTTTTTTTATAATAATTTTTTATGGGTCTTGTTAAAAGAAATAATTTATTAGATAAAAATAACTTTTTTTTTTTGGGTCTTATCAAAAAAGATAATTTATTCAATATAGATACAAAAAAAAAAAATTAGTCCTCTTCTTTTTATAATTTTTTTTTTTTCTCTTTTGGGGATCTTGAAAAAAAAAAGATAATTTCTTCAATAAACATTTTTTTTGGGTTTTATTTTTCATGTCAAAAAAGATAATTTTTTTAATAGTTACTTTTTATTTTTTTGGTCCGGTCAAAAGAGTCAATTTATTTAACATAAATTTTTATTTTTTGGCGCACCAAAAAAAAAAAAAAATTAATGATTCAATTAATTTTTTGTCTTGTCAAAAGAGACCTAAAATAATATTAAAGATTATAGATAAGGAGAGAAAATCTAAAATGACAATTTTGTCATTTAAAAAGTAATAATTATTTATTTGTAAAGTTAGAGTTAAAATTATCATTTCATTTAATAATTATAGTGCAAACGTTAAAAAATGGACTGCGAATATCGCCTATGTCCTTTCGTTTTATTTCATGTGCCACTATTAAATGCACTGTTCTCAATTTAACAATATGTGTACCGCCTCACCAAAGTCATCTCCCGGGGAATATTGGTTCGGTATCGTTTTGTTAGCTCAAGAAAGTAAAATAAGATTTAAAAGCGTTGTGTTAAAAAAATAACATAGTAAAAACAAGAGGTTCAAAACTCGCCTAAAATCAGGGTTGACTGATAGATTCCATCTTCTGATGGTTACTATGAGCATACATAATATATGGCCAAAGCGACCAAGATATTGTGCAGTTCACAGTTGCTAACATGAGCCAATAAGTTATTGCATGGTCCTAATTCACCAGGTCAGATAGCTTATTTGGTGGACTAGACTATATAATCAAGGCAAAATGACCTCTTATATATAATCTGTCATGTCAGCACCAAAAGATGAAAAAACTTAACCAAGAGAAACTGCTTGTTATCCCGCATTTGCATCATCCAAAGTTCTCTTTGGTTTCATTTTCCCGCGTTTTACATCATCCAAAGTTCATCTCTGTCTCTCTAAACCATTCCATCTAACCTACCCAACCTCCATCCTTATCTAACAAATTCTTCTGTGCTTTGTTTTTCCTTTTTCACCCACAAGCATCAACATAACAAAATTTCATGCTCTGTTATTTCTCTTTCACCCATAAACATCTCAGGTACATTCATGCTCTTCTATTATCGGAAGATTATTGATATTATTTTTCTGTTCTATTTCTTGCTCTGTTAAAATATTTATATATAGTTTTATTTTTATATTATTGATATTATTTCAGTGTTATGTTTTCCTCTTTTCTCATAAACCTATGAATTACTTCCTTTATATATTACTAAATGTGATTTCAAATAAGATGTGTAGATTAAAATATTTAAAACCTGAAATTAAGGCTTTATTGCTGGAGTTTTGTTCAGTGTGAATTTGTTGGGGACTGCTTTTTGTTGGTTTTGTTGCTGATCTGTTGTCATGGTTTTGTTCAACATCAGAGTCTTGTTTTTTCATGTCAAAGCAGGATGAGAACATTGAGTTTTTGTTTTTGCTTTCATGTTTTGCCCTTTCAACCTTAGACTTGGAATGTTTATTTGATAATGGAGTTCCCTTATATATACAAAACAAAAAACATTCCATTCAAAAAAGAAAAAAAAAAAAGTGAAATTAAGAGAATTTTCAATCTGGTCGAATTCTAGATTTCATGATTTAGAATTTGAAGTTATGGTAAATCTCCAACTCCAAAAGACTATATATATATATATATATATATATATATATATCACACACATATATATGTGTGGTTAAATGTGTGATGAGTGGGCTGAACATCACATATTTAACTGTAAAATATAAAAAATCAAAATTTAAGCTACATGAAATAAAAGGAATTTCAACTTGCTTATATGAGCATTATTGACAGACAAATTGATTTTATATTGGGTTATGTTTTAGCTTCTATGTATTCTTCTTTTTATTTATATACATAATTTTTCATCTCAGCTATGATTTTTCCTCTTTTTATAATGTGATTTCAAATAAGATGTTGAATGGAAATCTTAATAATACATTATATCACGTCCTGATTCACATTATAATCATTGATAAAAAATAATTAACAAAATTTGTTAATAGACATCTTTAAAATTAGAATTACAATTTTCTTTCTCATTATTTTAATTTGAACCTCATATGACACATTGAGGTTGCTTTAATTGAAGAATGTTTTAACATTATTATAGTTTTGATCTTATGTCATATAGCCCTAATGGAAAAATCATCATGCACGAATGAAAAAATCATTGATGTTGACAATGATAACAACCCTTATGTCACACATCAAAGTGATGATAATTTTGATCTAAAAGTTGGAATGCTGGTATATAGTGAGGAAGAAGCTTACAATCTCTACAATGGGCATGCTATAAACAAAGGGTTTAGTATGCGGAAAGGCAAAGTTCGGAGGTATGAAGGCACAGGTGGTTTGCGACAACGCATCTTTTTGTGTTCATGTGAAGGATTTAAAGAAGATAGTTCACCTTTTGAAGATAAAAAGTTTGAAGGAATGCTAACTAGGATTGGTTGCAAAGCTCGTGTTGTATTTAATGTGGAAAATGGTGTTTGGGAATTGGTTAAATTCATTTCTGAACATAACCATGCACTTGCAAAGCCTGAGCAAAGACACTTGTTGAGGTCAGGGCGAAAGATGTCTAGCACTAGTGCCGCTGTCTTGAGTTCCATGTTCAAAGCCGGTATAAGAGCAACCAAGGCATACTCATACTTGTCTAAAGAAGCTGGTGGAGTTCAAAATGTTGGGTTCACAGAATGTGATTGTCACAACTTTTTACAATCCAAAAAATCAAAATCAATAGAAGTAGGGGATGCTCAAACTCTTATTAATTATTTCAAGTCCAAGCAATCAGAAAATCCAATGTTCTTTTATACAGTTCAAGTGAGTGATCAAAATCGAATGACTAATTTTTTTTGGAGAGATGGTTCCTCCAAATTAGATTATCAATATTTTGGAGATGTCATGATATTTGATACCACCTACCGCACAAATAAATACAATATGATTTGTGCCCCTTTTGTTGGAGTAAATCATCATTGGAAGAATGTACTATTCGGTTGTGCTTTTTTATTGAATAAAACCACAGCTTCTTTTATGTGGTTATTTGAAGCATTTCTAGAGGCTATGGGAAATAAGGCTCCTAGAACAATTTTTACCGACCAAGATGGTGTAATGGAAAATGCTATACGTAAGGTGTTACCCAACACACGACATCGTCTATGTACATGGCATATCTTGAAAAATGCGGCCCAAAACATTTCTACTTTGTTTGTAAATCCAAGGTTCAAGGAGAAGTTCAACAAGCTTTTTTATGGTTGTGAAACTGAGGGAGAGTTCGAGTCCACCCTAGGGAAGTTAAATGAAGAACATGACATTGTAGGAAATAAATGGTTGAGTAAATTGTATGACATTCATGAGAAATGGTGCCCAACTTTCAGTTGTGATACATTCTCGGCCGATATTACATCAACACAAAGAAGTGAGAGTACAAATAATATATTTCAACATGTTGCTTGCAAGACCATGACTCTTACTGAATTTGTGAAGCATTACGATGAAAGTGCAAGCCGAATGCGTGAAATTGAAGTGAGTGATGATTTTTCATTTGTTAGAGGTATGCCTCCCATGCTTATACCTAATAATGGTACTTTAATACATGCAGCTCGGGTGTATACACATACCATTTTTAGAATGTTTCAAAGTGAGTTCTTAACCGCAGTAAATGAAGAGGTTATACGGGTTGATTCTGTTGGGCCACTTGTCATTTATACTTTAAAAAAAATGGGTTGTCACCGAGAGCATATGGTAGAATTTCATTATTCTAATTTCATTGTTCGGTGTAGTTGTAAAATGTTTGAATCTTTGGGCTTGTTGTGTCGACATAGTTTAAGGATATTAAATCTTAATGCCATCCAAAAAATTCCAAGTAAAAATATATTGAAGAGGTGAGCAAAAGGTGTAAAGGAAGGGATTATCATTGATGAGTATCGTGAGCCATCGCAGAAGGCGGTATCATCATCAAAGACAGTATTCTTGAACAAGCTCATATACAAAGCTTTTAGCGTTGTGAGTTTAAGTGCATATGATGAGGAAACATTTGCAATTACTAATAGCCATCTAGACCAAATTGTGCAAGAAGTTAGAAAGATTAAATCAAGGAATGTGATGAATAGTTGTGATTCTAATAGAGTTGATGTTGTGAATGAAGTAAATGACTCAATTGGTGAAAAGGTGGTGTTGGATCCTCTACGTATGAGGCCAAAAGGGGTAACATATGATAGGCTTAAGGGCTGCTTGGAGAAGCAAAAAAAAAAAAAGGCAAAAAAAAATGGCAACAAATTTCGTAAGAGCAGATATTTCACACATCCTTGCCTACTCTCAACAAATGAGTTCTAACTCCCACAATAAGGTACAATATAACACAAAGTGTATGTGTAGTCATGTAGAGATTATCTTATAGTAATTATTTATTTATTAGGTCTATTACAATTTGTCATACAGGTTTTTGGATATCATAACAGCCCTTTTGGAAACTTTCAACAAATACACTCTTTTATGCTAAATTGGAGTCAGGTAAAAAAAAAATTTTAAACTTAATTGTGTGCTTCAGTTGGACATAAAAATCTACACACATCATTTTCATATATGTATTTGTAGGTGTCATACAACAATGTTATACAGAATCAAGCAAGCCATAATTTTGATAACATTAATCAGGTATGAACTTTTCACATTCATTTTAGGCGTGAATAAATGTTTTAATTGTCCTTTATATTCTAACTTTTATGTCTTTTAATCAAATTTGTTATTTTTATAGCTGTCAAGAAATGATGCCATGGAAAATAGTGGGAATTCCTAAGAGCTATATGAGCATTTGCTCTATTCCTTTTGGCTTGATAATTCTATCCTTGTGGTTTTCTTGATGAAAAAAAGTTCATTTTGCTTTTTTAGTTATGCTGCTCAATGTTTTTGCTCTTAGCTACGCTGCTCAATAGTCCATAGATTCATAGACTTTGTTTTTGTAATGGAAGATGAATCCCCATTTTGATGTACAAGATTCTTATTGATATAAATTATAGCTACCATGAAAATGTTATTTTTTATTTTTTATTTTTTTTATTATTATTTTTAATTATGCAGCATTTTTTCTTTTTTCTTGTTTTGAGGATTTTCTTTTCCATTCCAAAAGTGTTTGTGCATGCACAAATGTGTAAGAGTGTAATTATGAAACCTTCAAGGAGGTGGAAGATTCAAATGATAGCTCCATGGACATTCAACAAAAACCTGGATAGGTTACAAAGCCAAAGTTTTGCTTTTCAAACACTGTTATGAGCATGCTCTGGGCTAAATTTCTCTTAATACTAGTACATCTTCAAGCTAATGCTTAAATCTAGGTGCTATGGAGTTTGGCAGGCTGGGGATAGGGAGTGGTATATGTGTGAATATATATATTTGTTTTTTTTCTTTTCTTCAAAGCATAAGTATTGTCTCCGTATTGAAATGCCTTGTTGAATTGTTGTTTGGATTGAGAAAGTAAAGATCCTCAAATACTCCTTCATAGTTGTACGCTAAGCCCAGTTTGTTATACATTTTCTTTCTTTAAAAAAATTTATGCACTTGCTACTCAGTATCATCAAAAAGAAAAGTGTTCATCAAGTTGCCTACTCAATACTTGATTATTTTTTGTATCGCATATCATTCAAAACAACAAAAGAGGAGTGGCAATATATCTTCTTCCTTATTTCCTATCATCTCTTAATGTAGAGGAAAACATTACACGAGAGGCCATTCATGCATTTCTTGTTGCAATAAGAAAGAAAAATCGAATTACATTATTCATAACCTTAGTTATTTGAGGAAGATATTATTAGATGGTCAAAGAACAATACAATAGCATCCCTTTTGTGTTCTTGCCTAGAACCCAAGGCTTCAAAGCCACACCAGTATGGCAATTGTGAGTGGTTTCTTATTATTGGAGGAAGGTGAGATTTTAAACCCTGAGCACACCATAGAATTAGCCATTGCAGGTGATAAGTATTCTGGATTTGCATTGCAAGTAATTTCATCCCACAACTTGCCATTGGACTATTATGGTGTAAGCCTGGGCAATTTTCTTCATCAACAAATATGATTCAAGGATTTAATACAACCATAGAATTAAACACAAACCCAGAATAAATATTCTAACCAAACTATAGATTTTGAGATTTGAGGAGTGATTTAAGAACAGAGTAGGTTACATAATTGGCTTATACCAAAATTGAGGGTTTAAAGACTTCAAAAATACTTGTCAAAAGAGAATTGTATGTCATACAAAAAAAAAAAAAAAATACTGAGTATTACCATTCTAAAAAGAAAATAATAATAATTACTAAGAATTCTAGGAGAAAGTAAACTGTATACTCATCAGTGAAGAACAAGAAGTACAACCACCTATCTCAAAAAGGTTTTCTGTAGAGGAATGAAGCCAAAAGAAGAAAGATTTCTAAAGAGAGAAAGGTAGCCAAAAGAAAGACAATTCTAGAGAGAGAAAGCAAGCCAGAAGAAAGACAATTCTAGAGGGAGAAAGCAAGACAGACTGAACCATCGGTGTTTCCACCCGTTTCCTAAACTGTCCGATCCCAAACTACAACCCGTAGTCACTTCCACTACACGAACACTGCCAATGAAAAATATGTCATCAATGGGGATTTCTGTACTAGAAACTTATAGGGGAAATGCATTAAACGGAAGGGGTAATGGCTGCAGACGAACTGGTGTATGCATAAAGGGGAGGGGAATAGAGAGAATGACTCCGGTGAGAGATGATTGGGATTTTTTTATGAGAAAGGAAAGAAGAAAAGGGGATGAAATGTTGAGGAGAGATTTTAGGCGTTGGTTGATTTTGTCTCAAAATAGATTCTTGGAATTAATTAATTTTGAATTCAAAATTTAAACTTAGAAAGAGAATTTTATCCAAGCGGGAAATGAAATCAGAAAGAGGGAAAACGAGATCAGAAAGAGAGATAACGTCTTTCTCTCCATTAAATTCTTTGTCTATGCTGACATGGCAAGTTATATAAAAATCTGACATGACAACTTATGTAAAGAGCTCATATAAGTTGATTATATAGCCTAGTCCACCAAATAAGCTATCTGACCTGGTGGACTAGGACCATGCAATAACTTCTCAACATGAACCTGCTTGGCGATATATATTCAGTATACATATAGACTTAGAGAAGTGATAGGAGTGTATATAAGATTTTTTAGGCAAGTGTGTATATATAGACTTTTTAAGTGCTGAGATACCCCTTGATTCTAGAGCCACGAGTGATCAAGTCCGAGCACAGATCCGAGGGATACCAGACAATTCATATGTAAACAAGCAGGAATATAAAAGAGAATTAAAGAAATAAATAATAAGCTGAAAAGAATTCTAAATATGAAAATCCTCAAAAATTATAAATTAATATAATTTAAACTTTCCAATATCCGTACAACTCGGGAATCCATCTAGTGGACCCCTAATGAAAGAACAGTACTGAAACAATATCCAAAACTAACACATGAAAAGTAATCCTACGTAACCGGAGGAGTGAGTGTCTGTATTTGCCCAGCACGATCAAGCTCTAAGTCTGGAACTGACGAACACCTGAAAAATGAGAGTGGGTCAGGCCCACATGCAAGTTCTATCCTACTACAATCCATACAGAACCCGATACGCAGATATATCCTAGATAGCTTAACACTAACTAAATTAGTCCATATATGTATAAATATACACTATAGGACGATCACTAGCCCACAGTTCTGTCTTAGCCTAAGTAAAAGGTAACATGCAAATCACACGTAATGTGGTCATGTATACCTAGACTTACCAGGGTACATCATTAGGTCCAATTATCCATCTTAGGCGATATACGCACCCTAACCATGATCCTGAGACTCAAGCTCATATCACGGTACCATAAGTATATATATAAATCCTTCCTAATACAGAAAATAAAACAAACATCCAGTATGTTGTACAACTATTTTAATTGACAAGACATAAATCCATGTAGGATTTAACTGTTTTAGTTAATCCATTCCGTATGTATGAATAGGTAGGAATTATCTTTTTGATCTAATCCATTCCTAATATGCCACCGTCCCATACCGGTGCATATAATGCATATGATCCATAAATGATGCAACACTCATTTGAACATCAAATGCATCCAGAAACAATCATAATAGAAGCCAGATATATGGAAGGTCCTTTTATGTATCCAATACATTATTGTGATCATATAACCTCCATTTAAACTGCTAGAGTAAATATAAACAATTTAAATCATCCATATCCATATAATTGATAGAACAGAAATTATAATAGTTCATCAATTAACATCCATAGCATGATATAATGATAATCAGAATTATAAACTGAGCCCATTATACTAGAATGCCAAAACACTTTCATACTAGTACATTTAATTTGCTAAAACAAACCTAGCAATTAAAACTTCCTCCATCATTGACAGAATGCATATTAATATTTAAATTTCATGACGTCCATTACTGTAGCATAAACCAATAATCCTGAGTCTTTAACACATTCTAGACATCATTTACAAACCCCCAAATAATTTTCAGAACCACACTTTAGCCTTTGCAGTCTGAAAACTTCCAAAAATACCCCCGTAGGGGTGTTCCAGCAAGGGAGCCGGCTCTCCCTCATGGAGAGCTGGCTCTCTCACCTAGGGAGCTGGCTCACTCCATTAGGGAGCCGGTTCTCTCCCTGAGAGCCGTGATTTGCTCCTCCTGTTCGTCTTCTTTGTTTCCGGCGAAGTTCAAATCATCTATTCCAATTTTTTTAAAAAGTTTCTAGGGTTCAATCCAAGTCTATAAATTCTAGAAACTCATCTAATCTCAGTACGACTTGCTTACCAAAAATTTAAAACATAATCTGTAACAGTTTATGCGCTAAGACAATTTCAGTTAAGCAAAACATACAACAATTTACAGTCTGATTTAATATGCATAACCAACCATTTTAAAAGTCTAGTTTAATTCCTGGAGACTATATAGCATGCACAGAACACAGGTTTAAAGGAAGGAGTTAGAATAAAACTTGCCTTCGATTTCAGTTTTGAAACCTTAAACCACCGTCTCTGAGTTTTTTAACAGATTTTCGACTGCCGTTCAACACCTCCGTTGCTCGTGGTTTAATCCAGAAACAAGCCCTTCCTTCCTCCTTTAGCCTCCCTTGTTATCTCTCAAGACCCTCATTGTTTGCCCCTCAAGACCCTCTCTGTTTTCCCCTTAAATCACTATTACGTGAATAAGGTTTTTCCAACCCTAGCAGACGTAAACAAGAATATATATAGGCGTCTAAACCTAATTCTAATTCCAACTTAATTATAAGTCGGCTACTTCATCCGTAAAAATCCTAAATTAAAGACATTAAATTTAAACAACGAAAACAATTATTAACCTAATATTCGATTAAACAAATAAAGAAATAACGCACACAATGTATACATTGCCACATAAGCATAACATTAATGAAAACAAAGAATTAAAACAAATAACTCAATTAAATAAAATAATTAACTAAAACAAATAACTCAATTAAATAAAACAATTAACAAATAATTTAATTAAATAAAAACAATTGACAAATAGGCAAATAAGCAAAGAATTCAATTAATCAAACAAAATTGCAATAAAATAATTAATTAAAACAAATAACTCAATTAAATAAAAAAATTATATTTAATTAAATAAAAACAATTGACAAATAGGCAAATAAGCAAAGAATTCAATTAATCAAACAAAATTGCAATAAAATCATTAATTAAAATATCGAGACTATCCTTTTAAAATTAAGGG